TTCCATGCTCACTCACTAAGCAACATTCTGATAATTTGCCTTCCTCGGAGGTCTGTCTTCAGTGAAAGAATGTGCCAGCCATGTGAAGACAAGTATTCCAGACACAGAAGTGGTTCTAATCATCTTGTGAATTGATAAGTAGACATTCTGGTTTCATGCATCTGCTCTCTGAGCTTAATTAATAAGAGAGCAATGAGATGGATCCACATTCAGTATGCTGACAGATCCAATTTCTAAACATGCAGGGTGGAGACGAGACCATTGGCAGAGGGAATACCACTGTGTGAGGTATCTTGGGAGATGACCAAATCCTCATCCTCTGATATCCCTACATTGCCTTCATCATGAAATTCCTCTAAGCTTTGTATCTGTTTGCTCACTCTGAGAGCATTGATTTATAGGGAAAGAACCAGATATGGATTGGCAAATCTCTGATGCAGATTAGAGAAAGGATATGAGAGTGAATTCAGAGCATATTTGACCCTTTTCACTAACCAGCTAAAACAACTCCTAATGTAATTGACTTCTGAAGATGTTCTTTGATCTTGGCCCACTTTTAGTTAACTTTGGTTAATAAAATACCATTTGTGTTTCTGGGTTGTGATTATTAAGTATCTTTTCATATCTGTCCATTTTCTCCACTATAAAATGAGGATATTGACTCTTCTCATCTCATTGATTTTACTAATCTTTCATTCAGCAATATTTATTGAGTGCCCGCCATGTGAGAGGCACCATGCCAAGCACTGGTGATATTGAGGAAATAGAGACAATATTGGAGAAATTGACTTCTAGTGGAAAAGACATCATTTAAATGAATTGTGTTAGTCTGCTTGGGCTGCTATAACCAAATATCATAGATTGGGTGGCATAAACAACAGAAATTTATTTCTCATGGTTCTAGAGGCTGAGAAATCCAAAATCAAGATGTCAGTTGATTTGGTTCCTAGTGAGAACTCACTTGCTGGCTTATAGGCAGCCACCTTTTCACTTTGTATGCACAAGACCTCTTCTTTGTGCATGCATAGAGAGGGAGAGCTCCTTGGTATTTTGCCTTATAAAAGGACACTAATCCTGTCAGATCCAGGGCCCCATTCTTATGACTTCATTTATCCTTAATTACTTCTGTTAAAGACCCTATCTCTAAATACAGTCACCTCTCTAAAGACTCTATTTCCAAAGAAGGTCTCATAGGAGTTAGGGCTTCAACATATAAATTTGAGGACACACATCGTTAATGGCAACTGAATCAACCATCCCAACACATTGATTTCAGATGTATAGCCCCGAGATCCAGTTTATGGTACTTTATTATGGCAGAAAACTAATACACTAATGTTTGAGGGTCCAGCCCCAGTATCAATATCATCTCTATCAATTTATTCAAGTAAACAGAACTAAAGGCCTTCGCTGATATACCAACACTCTCAAAGTCCTTGTGGATCAGCCTTTCTCCCCACCATTGTTACTGCACTCCCCTTATTGCCTATAAGACAATCATCTCCTTGGGAACTAAGGATTAAATGAGCAATACTCAAAGTTTTGAAAATACAATGAAATCTTGGAATATTTTTGTTGTTCTTCTTTATTTCTGAAACTAAGATTGTACCAAGGAAAATAGTGGAAAATAAAGCTTAATCTAAAAAAATTACTAACTGGGATACCTGGGTGGCTCAGTGTTAAACGTCTGCCTTTGGCTTCAGGTTGTGATCCCGGGGTCCTGGGATCGAGTCTTGTATCAAGCTCCCTGCAGAGAGCCTGCTTCTCCCTCTATCTATGTCTCTGCCTCTCTGTGTGTGTCTCTCATGAATAAGTAAATAAAATCTTTTTAAAAAATGACTATAACAGGCATTGACTATTAAGGAGTAAAGAGAAGTCTAAAGAAGAGAGGTATATGGATTGGGAGCAGCCACTACCCCCAGGGCTGGGGCAGGAAACAAAGGATGGAATGAACATGGGGGAGCACCCTTACCACCAGAGCTGAAATCAAAGCCTTGTTGGAGAGGATACAGCCATGACTCACTGAGCAGTGAAGTCATTGAGGTGCCTGCTAGCAAGATTTGCTGGCAAATACCTTCTGGATGTTTTGAGAAGATGCCTTTAAAGAAGCATTGCACACTGCCTGCCACTGTGCCCTACAAAAGCCTGCTCCAAGAAAAGCACCCTGGAACCAGGAAATGCCCCCCTTTTCCTCCAGTGCCCTCTACTGATGAAGCATAATGTTCCATCAACTGACCAAGGAGAAATGTTCCAACATCACCAACAGACAATGAATGGATTTGTTGCTGAGATGCAATGGACTGATAACATCATGTTAACCCTGGTTAAATCGAATCCTGTGCCTGTTCTACACTGACACCCATGCAGCTGCGTGAAAAGAGAAAACAACATCAATTAACAAAACCCCACTGACCGGTCTTACTAGCCTGGTCAGTCTCGAGTGGGTATTGGGGCAGCCAGCTGCCCAACCCACTTCCCTGGCCTGCTCACTGGCCTACTCACCCCACATGGCAATTCCTCACTCTCCTCTCCTCTCACGTGTGTCACCTTCTCACTATCCACAAGCCCTCTTTGCTGATGACCTCGCTTCCTATTTCATGAAGAAAATAGAAGTACTGAGATGAGAGCTTCCACGCACTCACCACCACACCTACCCACCTGGCAGCACCTGCACCCACATACTCCACCTTCCTGCCTGCTACCAGGCTGAAATGCCCAGGCCCCTCTCCTTGGCCAGCCCGTGACCTCTCTCCTTAGACTTCCGTCCCTTCTTGCCTACTCACAGAAACTGCTCTCGCTCCTACAGCATCGACATTTCCTCCCTCTGCTGAACCATGTCTATCAGCATACACCTTTAAAAAAAAAAAAAAAGCGGACTGTTTACCACATACACTCCTCTAACTTCTGCTCATTTCTTTGCTCTTATTTATAGCAAGTCTTTTGAAAACCATCTATATTCATTGTCTCCAATTTTTCTTTTTTTTTCAGGAAATTTAATTTTTATTTTTTATTTTTTTAATAAATTAATTTTTATTGGTGTTCAATTTACCAACATACAGAATAACACCCAGTGCTCATCCCGTCAAGTGTCCCCCTCAGTGCCCGTCACCCATCCACCCCCACCCCCCGCCCTCCCCCCTTCCACCACCCCTAGTTCCTTTCCCAGAGTTAGGAGTCTTTATGTTCTGTCTCCCTTTCTGATATTTCCCACACATTTCTTCTCCCTTCCCTTATATTCCCTTTCACTATTATTCATATTCCCCAAATGAATGAGAACATACACTGTTTGTCCTTCTCCGATTGACTTTCTTCACTCAGCATAATACCCTCCAGTTCCATCCACGTTGAAGCAAATGGTGGGTATTTGTCGTTTCTAATGGCTGAGGAATATTCCATTGTATACATAGACCACATCTTCTTTATCCATTCATCTTTCGATGGACACCGAGGCTCCTTTCACAGTTTGGCTATTGTGGACATGGCTGCTAGAAACATCGGGGTGCAGGTGTCCCGACGTTTCATTGCATCTGAATCTTCGGGGTAAATCCCTAACAGTGCAATTGCTGGGTCATAGGGCAGGTCTATTTTTAACTCTTTGAGGAACCTCCACAGTTTTCCAGAGTGGCTGCACCAGTTCACATTCCCACCAACAGTGTAAGAGTGTCCCCCTTTCTCCGCATCCTCTCCAACATTTGTTGTTTCCTGCCTTGTTAATTTTCCCCATTCTCACTGGTGTGAGGTGGTATCTCATTGTGGTTTGGATTTGTATTTCCCTGATGGCAAGTGATGCAGAGCATTTTCTCATGTGCATGTTGGCCATGTCTATGTCTTCCTCTGTGAGATTTCTCTTCATGTCTTTTGCCCATTTCATGATTGGATTGTTTCTTTCTTTGCTGTTGAGTTTAATAAGTTCTTTATAGATTTTGGAAACTAGCCCTTTATCTGATATGTTATTTGCAAATATCTTCTCCCATTCTGTAGGTTGTCTTTGAGTTTTGTTGACTGTATCCTTTGCTGTGCAAAAGCTTCTTATCTTGATGAAGTCCCAATAGTTCATTTTTGCTTTTGTTTCTTTTGCTTTTGTGGATGTATCTTGCAAGAAGTTACTGTGGCCAAGTTCAAAAAGGGTGTTGCCTGTGTTCTCCTGTCTCCAATTTTTCTCTTCTCAATCCCTCTTGCACTTATTCCAATGAGGTATTTATCACCTCCGGTCCACTGAGACCATTTTCAAGATCACCAATGATCAGGGGCACCCCTGGTGGGCAGAGCCCTGGACAGGTTTTTTTTTTCAAGGTCCTCGTCTATCTAAACAATTTTATTTTAAAATGCATTTCAAGAAAAATGTATTTCAAGGTTCATGGACCTTTGTGAGATGTTGACATTTATCAATGAAGATTTAGAATCATCAGGAGTGAAGAGGGACTTATATATTTGTTTATTGTTCTATCACTGTAAATGAAGGTTCTTTATAGAGTCCAGGCACCAAGTACTTCTTTTCAGATGCAGGAAACATCTCTTCTTGCTCTTTTAGCTAATGTTCTGTCTCTCAGGGGGTATTGGGGGTATGATGTTATAAGGGAGGATTAAAGGTGGGAGATATGGGATGGAGGTTTAGGTGTGTAATTGGGGTTGGGGGGGAGGGTGGGTGGTGGGGGGGGGGAATGTGGGGGGGGGGGGTGTGGGGGGGGGGGGGGGTGGTGGGGGGGGGGTGGGGGGGGGGGTGGGGGGGGGTGGGTGGGGGGGTGTGGTGGTGGTAGTGTGTGTGTGGTGTGTGGTGTTGTAATTGTGGTTGTTGTTGGGGGTTAGTTGGGGGGGTGTAATTTTGGTTTTAAGGTAAATTTTGATTTTATGTGTTGTGTAAGTGGGAGTGGTGGTTGGGGAATTGGGATGGGTTTGGGTGGTGTTTTTATATGGAGAATTTGATGGGGTGGAGAGGGTAGTATTTTGGAATGTTGATAGGATGTGATTGTTTTTATTGATAGGAAAGTTTGCCTGTACCCCTACTTCTGCACACCACTACGAAGAAGACATGGAAAGAACAGGAAAAACAGTCTTATTCACATAGGGAATTTCCATTCCTTATTGGGCATTGCTTCAAGACAGACTTGGGAAAGCAAGTTGATGACCATATTATTGGAGGCAAAAGAGGACGTCAGGTAGGATAACTTGTCAGCATTGCAAAGCAACAGTCTTAAAAGACCTCAGAGATGATATGCATAGCCTCTGCTGAAGGCCTTCATAGTAGGCAATGTGAAGCCTGAGGAGTGCAGGGGGTGACAACCCCAAGAGGCAAGAGAGGATGCAAAGTAAAGGATGCCTGCTACTATCCCATATCTTTGAGTGCTATAAATCAGAGATGGCACTATGCTGGAACACAGATGGGTGAAAGCTGGGGCATGGGCTCATACACTCAGCTCAAGGCCACAAGTGCAGTGGATCATCAGTAGCCCAGGACACTGAAGTCACAGTGTCTGATGTGAGAGTCACCCTCAATCACTGTGTCAGAGTCATTCTGGTGAAATCTCACACAATCCCACACCAGCCAGCAGAAGCCATCCAACTTCCAGACTGCCCTCCCAGACCAGGGTCCAACCAAGAACCCTCAGATGACTCCAATGACACTAATTTGGAGTGCTTCGACCTAACAAGTCAACCCTTCACATAGAGTGCAGATTCAGAGAGTGCTCCAAAGAGGAGAAAACAAGGATTGAGTCCCTATCTAAAGACAGGGGCTGCCATTTGTTTCTAATCACCTGGAGAGTCTGCCACAATTAAACCAGCTCTATTGAAATCAGAAGTCACATAACTTCACATATTTTGCCACTTCCGTTTATGCCCTAGCTTCCCTCCTGGGATCCTCATTTCTCTTCTTGGCTTGACTTCACCCATGATTACTTTAAAGCCTAGATACAAAATTTCCTCACTGTCAAGAATTATTTTTTGTAGTGTTTGGAGAGACCCAAAATTTCATCAGGAAGTTTGTTTTTTCAAAGATGCAATAGAGTCACAGAATTTCCCAGCTTGAGGGGATTTGAGACATTCATAAAATCATAGACATCTGGACCTGGAGGAGCTTTAGACCAATTCTTTCTGTCTGAAATCACTCTTTCCAAGCCTCCTCTCATTGTTTCTGTGACATCCAATGCCCTGATTTCCTTCTTATCTTTTTGGCGACTCCTGAGTCTCCTTTGCAGACTATTCTTTCTAGGGCTACATCTTCACACTCTTGCTCACTCTAGATCCCCAAGTGAGCTCATCCAGACCTATGGCTTTAAATACCATCTACATGCTGATGATTCCCAAATTTATATTTCCAGCCCCATATTCTCCACTGAGTTTCAAGCTCACATATCCAGCCATGCAGATGGAAATGGCTCCACTGTACACAGTCCTTACCTAGCCGAAGAAATACTGTAGACCGAAGAAATACTGTCTCCACCAGGCCCCGCCTAAATTGGTAGGTTCATGAGCAAAATAATTGCTGTCATTGTTTGAGCCACTAAGTTTCATGGTGGTTTGTAACATAGCAGTGGATACCTGGAACACAGCGGAAACCCCCTTCTCAGAACTCCCCTCTCTGAGCATCCTAAGCGTCTTTTGGCTTCCTCCATGACTTAAAAGTTATTATTAACCTCAATGCCTAGCCTGGAGCCAGGCACACAGGAGGAGCTCAATAAATATTTATGGTATGATTGGATGAGTGAGTAAATCCTCTTGTCACATTTGAAGTTTTCAGCCACTGATAAAAGCAAGGTTTGTTTAGTCATTTGCAGGGTGGTGACAACAAGCATCAATTCAAATAGAGGAAAGGATCGTTAAGGAGTGTGCTGTCCTGGTACCACTATGCAGGAGCGGGGGCAGACTTTCTGATCACCAGTCAGAGCCCAGATGACCAGAAGTCGTGTGCATCTGGGAAGGTAGATGGGAATGTCCCAACCATCCTAGTACTGTGTCAATACAGGAGACAATATGCCTTTTCTTTGTTGAGGAAGCAAAGGACTCTTTTTGTTGTCTGTCATGCCCCAAAGCATGTATCTTTCTCAGAAGTGGGGATATTCTCAATTTGGGAGATAGAAGACAGGGGATCGAGGCAAAGAAGTTTCAAAGAATCAGTCTTGCAGGAGATGCTGCACTTTGGTGGTGCTGATAATGACAACATGTCAGAGGATTGAGTTTCAGGCAGGTTCCTTGGGGCCCTGTTCATCGCTTTCTGCTCTGATGTGTGGTTTCCTTGGTGACAGGATGGCTGCTGGGTGGACAGAAGCTTTGGGGCCACCTGACTAGCTCTGACACTAACAGGCTTTGACAGCTTTGATTGGGATGAAAAAGGGTCCCTACTGGCTTTTTAAATTAAACCCTCTCTTCTGGCATGAGTTTGTTTATAAATGTTGCATTGGATGAGGAGAATTTTCCTGTGCACAGAGCTCCTTTACCATAGAGGCTGACTTGTTGGAGCTGCTGGCAGAGTTTCTAAGGTCAGGCACCCCCAAAGCAGCCCAGCCAGGCGGGGTTACACCCTGGTCTGCCTCTCAAGCAATGCCTCTGACAGCATGGACCAGTCAGTCGCAGTAGGAACACAGGAGCCACTGCAGTTATTTTAACAGAGGGAATTTAATCTAGGCAACATGTGAGGCAGGTATGGGAGGCTGAAAAGGCAAAAAAAAAAAAAAAGAGAGAGAGAGAGAGGAATATCAAGGTAAAAACAAGGGCAGTGACTGCAGGAAACAGCTCCATTTCTGGGGAGCAAAGGAGGGAGATGGGAGTTCCAGTCATTTAGAGGCTTGGAACAGGAGCCTGCAGAGCTGAGACCCAGACCCCCATTGAGGGGCAACTGTCTAGTATCTCTGAGGCTGGTGCTGGAAGCATAGAAACAACTGGCAATTGGAACACACTGCCATTGGAAGGAACTGTCACAGCAAGGTGAAGAGTCACTGCTGGAGTGATACTCAGAGGAACAAGCAGCAGGGAAGGAGCAAGCCCACTCCCAGCCCCTTACGGACAGAGCCTAAGCTGGAGCTGGCTGTGGTTTGCAGCATCCTGGCCCCAGCCTCACAGAGTATAGAAGGTAGGTTTGAGCTGAGTGATGTCAGCTTCATAACCAGCAGTGGGAGGGCTGAAGAAGACAATCATAGTGGGAGGCCAGATGGAACACCTGGCCAGGGACATCCAGGCCTACCCACTCACTATGGAAATCATCCAATGTTTACTGAGTTCTTTGCACATTACAGGCAGCTTTTTACGTTATCTTATCTAAAAGTAGGTAATGGTAACTGCCAGCGTGTTCTAGCACTGAGAAATAGAGACTATCCCCAGCTTCCAATGTTGGTCCCTTTCGCCTCAGCCTTGACCCTGAGCTCTTGCTCTCACAGCCTGGAATAGCTTGATGCACCCTGACCTGTGCTCCCCTCATCCAGTGCACTTCCCAGATCTGGAAGTTTTCACCTTGTTCCTCTGGAGCAGATGGACAGGTTCCCAAGCAGGACGTCACCTTGTCCCCAGCCCTGTTTCAGCTAGAATAGATCCACAGCATTTTCTTCTCACACTGGGTTTCCAAGCCAGCTTACATTTGAAGAGAAGGTTCTACAGGAAACAACAGCTTGGAAAACCCTTACCCTAGTGAAGAATCCTTCAACCTGCCAGCTGCCATTGAGCCAGCAAGGCTCACTTCCCATGGTCTCCTCTTCCGAGATGTCCTCTGTCTCTACCAGCCTCAGGCAAATGTCAGTCCCTATTTGTCCCCTACAGAAGCTAACTGTCCCCCAAATCCCTCTAAAGTTTTCTTCCAAAGGTATGTTGGTGGGTGGTCTGCTGAGTGCTCTGTCTCTGGGCACATGGTTGTGCCTGTTTGCATGTAGTGTAGTTTGAAGTACTATTTTTTTGTTCACTTATTGGTTGGTGTGTTTTTCCCCAAAAAGCCTTTTAATCCACCCTAGAGGAAGGAAAGGGTAGAGAAGGGAGTGACTCGGTAAAAAGAAAGAGTAGTATTTTTCCTGTCCCAGATGGACCCTAGGTCCACACTTGCCTGTAAGGTTTGCAAAAGTATAAACAGAGGCAGTTTGCCTGCATTCCCACCTTTGCTTCCCACCCCCAACTCCACCCAGCAGGCAGCAAACAAACACCTCATCCCCACTTGTCTAAATTCTACCCAAAGTCTTGCTAAAAACAGCTGCCCTTGGTTGTCCCTGAGGCCTCGGCGAGCTCACCACAGACAGAATAGATGCAGAAGAGGCTCATGCAGCCCTGGAAGAGGCTGGGACATTTAGGCAGAGAATTTTGGATCCCAGGTACCCAAGGGATGGGACAGTCAGAAAAGACTGGCCCTGGTTGGCATAGACTTGGCCCTTGGCCCTTCTCATCCAGTGTGGAGGGATTGACTCCTACCAGAGCCAAAGCAGGGCACCTGAAACAACGGTCGAGGACTGCAGCCTGAGAGAACAAAAGAGGCTTCCCTGGGCACAACGGAGCCCAGAAGGAGGGGTGGCCATGCAGCCAGGCTCCTTCTGAAGTCCCCACCCAAGCAAGCACTCCTAAACCAGTGTGAGAAGCAACAGACGTCAAGGTATGGGCCAGTGCTCCATTGCAGCATCCCGTGGCAGAGGTGGCAAGAGTGGCTGCAGCCATGCAGGCTGGCCTGGGGCAAAGGGCCAGTGCCGTTTGCTTAGACAGAAGCCTGGGGGAGCTCTGCTCGGGCCTGCACAGGCCCCAGCATCCAGCAACTCTGTGGAGGAGGCAGGCTTCCAGAGATGAACAATGGGCCCTGCCCTGGCTCGGCCAATGCTAGGGCTGGCAGCAGTGGGGGCAGAGAGGAAGGGAAGGAGATACCTGGTTGTATATTAATTCTAGAAAAGCCCAAATATGACATTTCCTCACCTTGTTGCGCTCGCCAATTTTAGGCACCTTCCCTGCTCTGCCCAACATCCCCACTCTCCTACACTCAGAGTTCTTGAGTTTACTGCCCTTTATTTTAATACCTAATACCTTTCTTTAAACCTTTTCCCACGGAGAAATTCAGCAAAGGCAAGAGCAGATGGAGAGTACCCCCACATGTGAACCCCCACACGCCCCTCACCAGGCTCAGCATCGTCAGTTCAGAGTCCATCCTGTTCCACCCAAGCTCCCGCCTCTGTCTCCCCTCCTGTATTATTTTGAGGCAGGGTATGTCTCTTTAAAATGATTCCTTTTTTTTTTTTAATGATTCCTTTAAAAAAATGTAACCTCAATGCCTTTAGCACACCTAGATTAAAAACAAAAGAAAAAACCTTAACACCATCAAATATGCAGTCAGTGTTCTCATTTCCGTGTCTCCTAAATACTACTCACGGCGCCCTGGGGAGGGCACTGGCAGGAGCAACATCGGCCGTAGGATGCCAGTGGGCCTGGCTGTGGCCTGGATGAGGCGGGTGCCAAAGGTTCGAGGCCGGGGCGGATTGTGAGAGATGGCCAGGAGGCGTGGGGGCTGCAGGCGAGCGCTCAGCAGAGGGGACGGAGTCCTCCCCCATTCCTTCGCAGCCCATGGGAAAGGAGAGGCTGCAGGAAGAGGTGCGGTGGCAGCAGCCCTTGCGGGAGAAGTGAGTTCTTCCTGAATGCTGGCCAGTGCTCATTATCAGTAAACAGAAGTGGACATGCGTCACCTCAGCAGGCAGGCTCCCTGGGATGAGACTGGACTTCCTCCGGAGGTAAACCGTGTGCTGGGCTGGCGGAGGGGGCAGGAAGAAGGGCTGGATTCAGTTAGTGAATGTCAGACCTAAGGCGGCCCCTTTGGAGAGGGAGCTATAAAGGGAAAAGCAGGGGCACCCGAGTGGCTCAGCGGTTGAGCATCTGCCTTTGGCTCAGGGCATGATCCTGGGGTTCTGGGATCGAGTCCCACATTGGGCTCCCTGCAAGGAGCCTGCTTCTCCCTCTGCCTGTGTGTCTCTGCGTGTCTCTCATGAATAAATAAAATATTTTAAAATAGAATAAAAAATAAAAGGAAAAGCATGTAGACTTTGTCCTCACACCAACCTAGGCATAACATCTGCAGCTGCCAGTTACTAGCTGTGTGACCTGGAGCAAGATCTTAACCTCTCTGAGCCTGTTCCCACATCTCTAAAACCATATAATGGGAAACATAAAAGACCCCTAAAGGAATCGATTCAGTAACACATGTGAAATGCCTCATCAACACTTAGCCAGAGAGAGAGCACCTGCCTGCTGCTTCTATCCCAGCCTCTATCTTCTTTCCCTTGACATCTAGATTCAGTCACACAGGTTGCTGAGGAGCCAAGGCTCTGAAAGGGCTCTCACTATGACAGAGATTCTGTCTTTGTCTACCATGCCATGTGATCCAAATGGCTTTCACACTCATGGGAACTCCAGTCTTTTTCCTCCACTCAAGAAATCCTTCCAGAATGCAGGTGAGGTGGGAGAGAGGTTTTCTGGGACCAGGACATGTTGGGATAGCTGAGGACAGCAGTAATGACTGACCAATGGAGAGGACAGGAGAGACAGCAGCTCTGAGACACCGGGGGGATCAGATAGCCCTAGGAGCTCTGTGAAGGGGGATCTGGGTTTATGACCTAGCACCAGGGTTCCAAGGGTGCACTACCCATGCAGTCCCATGGAGTCCCATGCTTAGAAGGGCTTCACTTGGTTTAATGCCTTGCTATCACCATCTTGAAATTGTTAAAAAAAATTAAGATTGTATTTATTTATTCGTGAGAGACACACAGAGGCAGAGACACAGGCAGAGGGAGAAGCAGCTCCTTGCAGGGAGCCTGATTCGGGACTCGATCCCAAGACCCCTGGATCACGCCCTGAGCCGAAGGCAGATGCTCAACTGCTGAGTAACCCAGGTGTCCCAAAATTGTTAAAAATTTTTAACAAGGACTCCACATGTTCATTTCACACTAGGTCCCACAAATCATGCAGCCAGTCCTACCTGGCACCAACCTGCCAACTGTGTGGATTCCTGCGGCATCCCCAGTGAAGAAGAGAAAGAAAATCCCAACTGATCCAGCTAGTGGACTTCGAAAGCAGGTGCTTCGAAGTTAAGGGACTATCACATGGTTCTAGTGATCACCTACGGTGTCTTGGATGGGTGGGCAGGGGGCTGATTAATTAGAAGAAAAGGAAAGACTCTAGAGTCTGCAGGTCTTACAGACACCACTAGTTGGGGTGGAAGTAGATGTGTGACTGAGCCACAAGAAGTGATTTTATTATCTGCTGATAATAAAAACAACCCAGCATTCAAGCTGGGGCTTGAAGATTTCACAGGTGGAGCACATGGTGTGGCTGAGCTGGGGCCTTGGAAAGCAGATCTTAGTGGAAGACTAGGCAAGCTGCAACTGTAGATAATGGGGTCAGGATGGCGATGGGAAAGTGTGGAGAGGAATGGGGGCTGTGTGTCAGGTGGTTGTATAATAAGTGGAGGACAGTCCTTGATATTCAGAAATCTAGGCAGCAGATAGCACTGAGGAAGATGATCAGTAAGGCTGGAGGTCCCAGCCCTACACAAGGGTTGCAGGTGACACTGCAGAGGGGGATGCCTGAGCCTCGACAGGTTTCCAGCACCAAGACAGAAGAAGAAGAAGAAGAAGGAGGAGGAGTAGGAGGAGGAGGAGGAAAGAAGAAGGAAGAAGAAGGAGGAGGAGGAGGAGGAGGAGGAGGAGGGAGACCAGTAACAGGAATGGGACACCAGAATGAAGCCAGTTGGGCTTCCTGGGAAGATAGTGAAAAGGCTGGCATCTCCATTCCTGCCACTCCTGTCCTAGGCATCTACTTGGCACATTCCCCTCCCAATGCTTTGATCTCCCTTGACAGCCTGAGGCTCCTGAAAGGCAGATGCTTTCTCTCTTTCACCTGCTTACCTCTAATGCAAAGGAAAGTACTTAGCACATGGCAGGTGCTGAATAAATGTAGTCTGGTTGGCTGGGCACTAGCTAGTTGGACAGTTCGATGGCCACTCAGCTCAACAGTCAGAGGGAAGCCGGGCTATAGAGTAGAAAGCCTGCAGATTGTGACACCAGATGCCCAGGGTTCTAATCCTACCTCTGTTACTTGTTAAATGAGCAATCTTGGACAAGTTATTTAACTTCTGCACCTGAGTTTCCCCACTATAAAATGTAAATTTTAATTTTTTTGTTTTATAGTGTGCCTTTGAATCAGTGTATATAAAGCTTTTAGAACAGTGCTTGACACCCAGTAAGTGTGCTGGACAAGTCATATAATTGTTTTTATCATTATTACAACCAATAAATAACATTGTGTGTGTGTGTGTGTGTGTGTGTGTGTGTGTGTGTGTTGCAGCTGTCAGCTGCCAGTGAAGATGCGACTCCTTCCCCTGGCACCAGAGGCTTAGACAACACGCAAGAGGCATCGGAAGGCGGGACGCCCCTCCTCCCTCCCCAGTTAACTTCTCTAAAATATCTATGAGGTCTACGTGCACGCGGAGGCAATGCGCCAGTGACTCAGAAGAAGAGGCTATGCGTCCACCTGGTGACGGGACCTCTGGGTGCCTCAGAGACTACCCCCCAGGAGCCCTCACCTCTGGGCAGTGGGCGCCACCTGGAGGCCACCTCAAGACCTGCAGGGATGCTGCAGGCACTTAGGAAGATGGCAAAATCCTTTCATTCTATTTTATCCTTTATTAAGCCACTGCTGTGTGTTAGGCTCTGGTGACTTGGGTAGAAATAAAGCTAACGTCTGGTCGCCCATGAAATTTATGGCTTGATGGAGAAGACAGACCCTTCACAAATAATTCAATGTGTAATGCTACAGCTGGGAAAGAGATGGATACAAGGAAGGAATAACCAGGACACCTGGGTGGCTCAGTGGGTAACGTGGGACTCTTGATTTCGGCTCAGGTCTTGATCTCAGGGCCCTGGGATCAAGCAGCAGGTAGGACTCCATGCTGGAGATGGAGCCTGCTCAAGATTCTCTGCCTCTTCTCTCTCTCTCTCTCTCTCTCTCTCTCTCTCTCTCTCTCTCTCTCTCTCCTGTCTCTCTCTCTAAAGGGGGAGAAAAAAGGGAGAGAGTAACCAATGTGGTCATCCCCAAAGCATTTATTGGTGCCAGGCGCCATTCAAGGAACTAAAAACAGAGGAACAAAACAAGCTTCTGCTCCGTAGGAGCTCGTTACAGGTAGGACAGACCGGCAAACCTAGAAGTAGGGAACAGAGCAAAGAATGAGCCAGCCCAGGATCAGAGATGTCTGGAGGGAAGTCAGGGACATCCTCCAGGAAAGTATATGACTTCACTTGAATTTTAAAGAATGGGCAGGATTTCTCCAGGCTGAGGATGGAGGGGGGGTGGGGGCGCAGTATCTTTTGTGAAGTTGTGGAAGAAAAAAAGACATGGGTTGGAGAGTGACAAGTTTCCATGTCTGAAATACAAGGAACCTGGAAGAGAGGTGCTGGGACATGAGGCTGGAAAAGGATATTGGAGCCAAATTGTGAAGGGCTCCATCTGATGAGTGAAGAAGTCTGGACCAGATCCACAGGACAGCAGGGAGCATCTGAGGTTCCACAGCAGAGACCTGCGCTATGGAAAGCTCACCCCAAGATGCAGAAGTGAGGACAAGTGAGAATACTAGCAGCTCAAACTCTTAGGTGCCAGGGACAAGCTGAGCACTTGGCACCCTCTATATGGGCCTAGGAGCTAAGTATTATTATTATTCCAATTTTTCCCAATGGAAAAAACAGGCAAGTGCCCCTACATTGAAGCTAGATTCAAACTTGTGGGCCAGCTGCAGGGCCTGGGCAATTCTGCAGACAGTAGAGCTAGCTGCACCCCAGGGGGTCGAGGGCTAAAGACAAGACTTACTTAGTGGGTGCCATCAGCAGTATGAAATGACTGTCCAGATCTGCAAGATGAAGAATAGGAAAGAGCTACAACCAAATTCTTATGAAAAGTTTACTTTTGAGATAATACATTGTTAGACCTGGAAAATACCTTGTTGCTCATCCAGAACAACCCCATTCTGCCCTCAATTCAGGCACTGATTCAAGCCACATGAAGCTATGTTGCATCTCTGCTTCCTGCTCCCACCACCCCCTACCCTCCCAGCCCACACCTCCCCACCCAGGAAGCATGAGATCTGCATGTTCCCAAGTGAAGGCCTCCACTGGACCTACTCACCAACACCACTTCATCCATCAGGCCCTCTCACACTGCCTGCACTTTTTTTTTTTTAGAGAGAGAGTACACATATGCATGCATGAGGGGGGTGGGCAAAGGGAGAGGGAGAAAGAGAATCCTAAGCAGGCTCCATGCTCAGTGGGGAGCCCATCATGGGGCTCAATCCAGCAACCCCGAGATCATGACCTAAGCCGACATCAAGAGTTGGTCACTTAACCAACTGAGCCACCCAGGTGCCCCAAACAATTTGTTTTATTTTTCTCTCTACTGAAGGAAACATGGATATGTTCCCAAAACATGCAGATGTACTATAATTTATTCCATCTAAAAATGTTTTATTTTAAAAATCCTATTAACCCCAGATCTCTCCCACCACCACCATTCTATTATGTCAATCCTCTTCAAAAGAGTTAATTATAATCAGACTGCACTTTTTCTCCTCTTAGTCTTTCTTGAACACACTTCAATCAGTTTCATTCCTGTAACGCCACCCAAATTGCTCTTGTGGAGGTCACTAATCACTCCACAGTGCAATCTCAAGTCAATTGAGAGTCCTCATCTTGGTGACCTGTCAGCAGCATTCAACACAGTTGCATGTCTTCACTCAGTGCCTTAAAGCAGTCTGTGCTTTTTCCTCTCTGTATCCACTGCCTAGTGACCTGACCTGGCCTCCTGCCTACAACTCCCAAGTGTGTATTTCCAGCCTGACTTCTCCCTGGAAATCAGACCCATGTCTCCAGCTGCTGACTTAACATCTGCGCCTGGATACCTGATGCCTGGTGCCTGATATGAATCTCAAACTTAGTGTGCCCAAAAACAAACTCCGAATCTTCCCCCAAAACTCATTCCTCTCATTCTCCCTCCCATCTCAAGAAATGAAAAGGTCAATCCTCTGGTTGCTCAGAACAAATCCTCTAACCCTGTTATCTGATTTTGTCAGGATAAATTAGGTGATGCTGCAGTGACACAGAACCCCCAAATCTCAGAGGCATAACACACAAATGTTTATTTTGTTGTTCATGCCCAGCCCGAGTTGGGAGGAGCTCTACACATCATGCTCACCTGGGGACTTGATCAAATATTTCCACATGCTTTGCTTTGAGGCAGAAGGCAGTCTTGCTCTCACACTTAAATGACCACATTTCTTCTGCTTGCATTTCACTGTCCAAAGCAAGTTGTATGGCCACACCACTTAAAGGAAGGTAGAAAATGCAAACCTACTATGTGCAAAGAAAAGGAAACAACCGAAATATTGTAACAGCTCCCACCATCCCCGACCCCTCTCTTTCCCTGCCTTGCATTGCAATCCACCAGCAGCCCTTGCCTTTCTTTCAAAAATGATCTAGTCTGACCTCATCTAACACCTAATACCAAGTTGGTGTTCTAGCACCAACATCTTTCACCAGGGTTACTGTAATAGCTTCTCTACTGGACTTTCTGCTTCTGCCCTTGGCCCCTCAGCTGATTCTCCACACAGCACCCTAGTGATTCTTCTCAGTCCTTTCCAATGCTTTCCGCTGGGGGAAGGTAATAAAGTATTTACAATGACTCATGAGGCTATATAACCTGCCCACTCTGTTCCTACTTCTCAAACCTAATCTTCTACAACCTCTCCTTTGATCCCTCCTGTTCAGCCCCACTGGGCCCCAGGGGATTCTGGGATACTGAGCATCCTCAGTCTCAACACCTTTATACCTGTTTGCTCCTTGCACCTAAAATGTTCTCACCAGGTAACCATGTGTCTTTCTCCTTCAGATCTCTGCTCAAACATTTCCTATTCATAGAAGCCTTCCCTTAAAATCACAATCACACACACACACACACATACACACACACACACACACACACACACACACACCACACACGCAGCACTCCCCATACCCCATCCCAACCCTGCTTTATTTCTCATTGTAGAACTTTTCACTGACTGGCATATTACATATTTGTTTTAATCTGCTTAATAGCCATCTCCCCAAATAGAATATATGTTTTATATAAGCAAGAATTTTGTTTTATCACTGTTGGATTTCCAGTGCCTGCAACATAAAATGTGTTGAACTTGAGGAAGAAGCCTGAAGCTGGTCAATGCAGAGCTTGAAATAATCTGTAGCTCTCTAGACCTTCCATCGCAATATACCATGAAGCGTCTCAAAAAACCATGTTTAGGCCCAAATTGCCCAGGGAAATGAAGAGCTGCTCACTTCCTCAGATCAGAACCAACACCAAGGCATGGGAAATCTATGCTGTGCATTGAGAGCCCCACCCTCTGGGAAGTGGGTGTGTGCAGAGGACTCATCACGAGTGTTGAGGCTTTTATTTAGAGGAGCCACGTGCAGACTCCCAGGAAGCCAGACTCAATCAGTGGTGATATAATATTCATGATTGGTACCTAAGGGTCTACCAGACTTACTATAATTCATATAATGGAAATAAAATGAGACAATACAAGAAGTGCTTATGGGGGGAAAAAGGTGTGTTGGCCCAAAAAACCATAAGGGCCAGACAGAGCTCCTCCAGTGTCTTCAGTCCCAGCACCTGCTCTGGTCCCAGCTCCACTCTCAGCCTTACCTCTGGCCCCCACCTCACCCAGAAGCAGCATGTAGACTTCTTGGCCCCAGCAGGGACTCTAGTACTGACCAGCTGGCTCTCCCAGGTCCTTCTGCAGCACGTGGTCTGGCCATGTCTCATCACTGTGTCCTCCATCGTGAGCAGCTACAAGGAGCAGCAGAGCAACGGCACAGCCTGAGTTGTTTGGCTGCTGCTGGGAACTGTGCACACACACTCATGCTGGAATCAGATGTCAGCAAGTGCTTTGCAGTGGCACCCAGGTTGTGGTAGAAGATTTAGCTAAGAATGTGTACACGTTGCCCAAGAACGTATCCCCAGATGTGCCCAGAACCTCACAAGGCACCCTGCGCTCATCCAGGAACCCTAAGCTTGGGGTTTGGTGGGGTGGACAACCTCCTGCCCTCACTGTGGACTCAGCTCCAGAATGGCCATATGAGCATCAAAACTACATGAACACTTTCACAGAGCCCCCAGGAAGGCCATGCGGTGATATTCAGGCTTGGGACAATGAAATGAATGTGTGAGAACACCAAATGCATCCTAGTGAAGCTGCTCATGAACCTGTTTCAGGCCCACAGGGATGATCCAGAACATCCTGATAGTAATCGCCCTCTTCCCCCATCATTATTTATTCTATCTCTCCACTGCATGATTCCCATCAGAATAAAAACACACTGTAATTCCTCCCACCTTGAAAACTAACCTGTCTGCCGTGCCCCCCTCACACATCTGTGCCATTTTTCTGCTGCTGTCTTGCAAAAAAAACTCTTCTAAAGACTCAAGCATGCTCACTGCCTCTGGTCTCCTTCTCCGCCTTCTGGAATCCACCCAACCCTCCCCACAACCGCTCTGGTCCAGGTCATCGATGGCCTCTCTATGCCAAATGCAATGGTCAGCAGCGCACCTCCTTTCCTGCCTCATCTTCCAGAGCTCTCAATTTTGGAAATCCTCAAGCAGCCTGTAGCATGTCTTTTCCCTCATTTGTATTCACTTTTAAGGTGATCTCATCTAGTTCTGTGATTTTCATATAATTGTAAATTTAGGACTCTTGATTTT